AACTTGGGGCTTGCGCCAGATTGTAGAGCGGTGTTTGGTATCCCGTATAGTAGGGTGAAAAACAAAAAAAAATAAAGTCCGACCTCAAAACCTAAAGTTTTCTTTAAATCTTTAATCTTTCGATTTTGATACAACATCAAGTATTCTAAAGCAGGAAAGCCTCTATCATTTTCCGCTAAATAATGTCAACAGACTTTATACTCTACTAACGTAAAAAAGTGAAAACTTAAGGGGGATGATCCTCTCTAACATACCCTCAAACTTTGCTAGTTTATAGAGGACACCTTCAAGGGAATACGTGCGCAATAATTGACGAGTTGGCTAACTTATTTATTTTATTAAAAAATCAATTTTCCCAGTTATTTTGCACCTAGTGCAAGAAACATTTCTTGCGCAGTCGTCCGCATCAAGAAAGCATTTTGGAAAGTTTATGTCAATGCAAAAGTTGTTCATTGTATTCATCTCTACCGAATGACATAATTTTACTTTCCCCAAAACTTACTAATTAGCTTACTTATTTTAGCCCATTTTTAGAAATATTGCTCGTTTTTGGAAAAGAATTCCAAAACATAGGTTTATATTGCGAATTTCAGAGTTATGGCTCGGTTTTCCACGGACCTCTCGGAAAACCGATTTTGAAAATTGTTTTTTGAAAGCTTATGTGCTACATAAAGATGCGGCGATGTTTTGACTGTCGAAGGACGGAAACCGCAATTCTCTAACTATTCTTAGTCAAAAGTTATCTAAAGAATGACTTGTGTGGGCACCGTGATAAACCCAAGTGGAAAACAGCTGAATATAGTCAGTTAAATTCAACTGAATTCAAAATTCACCTGAATTAACTCAAATTCACGTAAGTTCACCAAAATTCACGTAAATTCGCAAAAGTTCCCAAATATAGTTGAACGAAACGACGATAATAGCAATACAAATAAGTATTAACGCCATTTCATCCCAAAAATTTATTTGAAAATGAGTAATAATCTTATTAAGTCTAAATATTTGCGTTGTCTTCTATTTTTTGGATTGATGGTTTTCTAAAATATCTCTGGAAAACTACCTCGGGTCTGGATCCGAAACCCACAACCATATACGTTTTAAGTGCATGCGATCTACCATCAAACAATGACATAATAAAATTTTTCAAAGTTTGTGTTTAGTCATCGTAGACGATTTTCTAAGTGCCCGCGACTTTCAGCTAAACCGCTTGGAAAACCTTCAAATTTTGGGTTTTTCCAAGACAAAAACGGTTATAATTAGTTAAAAGTGAACTTTGTTCAATAAGCTTGTTTAAAAAATTAAAGGATAATGATGAATATTTTTAATCTGAATATTTCCGAGACCTGTGATAAAAAAACTCGGTTTTCCTGTTCAGAGAGTATATTATAGGATTGTTTCGTGTAAGCACTAGGTAGTTTTCAGTCGATTTGGAAAGACGCTCGTCTAAATTTAGTTAAATTCATGTAAATTCATGTATAAAATGTATAAAATTCAGTTGTTTTCCACTCGAATAAACCGCTTAGGAATCCAATATTTCTAAAAATGGACTAAAATACGTGCTAATTAGTAAGTTTTGGGGAAAGTAAAATTATGTCATTCGGTAGAGATGAATACAATGAACAACTTTTGCATTGACATAAACTTTCCAAAATGCTTTCTTGATGCGGACGACTGCGCAAGAAATGTTTCTTGCACTAGGTGCAAAATAACTGGGAAAATTGATTTTTTAATAAAATAAATAAGTTAGCCAACTCGTCAATTATTGCGCACGTATTCCCTTGAAGGTGTCCTCTATAAACTGGCAAAGTTTGAGGGTATGTTAGAGAGGATCATCCCCCTTAAGTTTTCACTTTTTTACGTTAGTAGAGTATAAAGTCTGTTGACATTATTTAGCGGAAAATGATAGAGGCTTTCCTGCTTTAGAAGACAGCAGTAAAGCGCTACAGTTAAAAATTCTTTTATTCTAGCTCTTCGTTAACAAGTCCCGTGCCTCCGAGAATGTGCATGCCGTCTTCTGGTCGACAGAATTTTACTCTTTACGATCAAACCAAAAAGCCATCAATTGACACAGATAAAAATGAGAACAGATCTTCAAAGACAAACAGCGAATGCAATAGCAAATGCGGTAATTTCGTAGTTCGACAGAAATAGTTTGTTGTGACCGCGTGTTTTGACAGTATCGAAGTTTTTCGTTCTAAAGTCGAAATTGTGAAAGCCTGCCGCCGTCAACTTCGTTTCAACGGAGAATTTTAAGAAAATAAATTCAAAATTAATTAATTTTCTAGAAAATTCTTTACTCTGTTTCTCATATGAATTGCAAATCATTCGGACTTGACCTGAATTACTTAATGTGAAATCAATAAAGGTTTGTGAGTATAACCTGATCAATTTTAGGCGTATAGATTTCGAAATACTTTTATACCACGGAACGCGATCTCCTGATCCTATCGATCCTAACAAAAATGCACTCTAGAGATGACTAAAGAGCTAGTGAAATTTAGAAGTCAAGACAGAATTGACTTTACTTACCCAGCTCTGCTTAGCAACATAAACATAAACTTAGTCGTTGATTTTAGTGGATCAAAGGAACTTAGTAGTCGATGGTTATCCGTTCAAATACAAAGATTTTATTTATTTATAGCGGAACAATACTTATAAACAAAAGTAATACTGTAAATTTCTTGAAAGCGTTGATAGAGAACTTTATCGACTACTAATGTAATAAGATGGGGACCATACTCATTCTCAAATAACAGAAATGGAGTATCCGCGGTCGAGATAAGGCATTACATCTCACTTTGACTTTTTTCTTTTAAAAATTAAAGAGTCTAACGCGCCGTTCTACGTTTCGTATGTGTCTGAGAAACACTGATAGATAGATATAAACTGGATATATTTATCTATCTGTGTCTATATCTAACGACTCTATAGAAAATTTAGTATATAATAAAATGTACAGTAGCTCTCGTCCAATATTCATTATACTTAGCTTGTATTACAAATTATTATAACGAGATTTTTCAATGGCGAATCGAACTATCAAAGAAGCAGCATCGGTTAAAGGTACAAATCCTCAATATTTAATTGAAAAAATAATTCGCACCCGTATTTATGATTCACAGTATTGGAAAGAAACTTGTTTTGCATTAAGCGCCGAATTACTTGTTGATAAAGCCGTTGAATTAAAATTTATCGGTGGTGTTTATGGTGGAAATATTAAGCCGTCGGCATTTATTTGTCTTGTTCTTAAAATGTTACAAATTCAACCAGAGCGAGATATTATTATTGAATTTATTAAAAATGAAGAATTCAAATATGTTCGTGCATTAGGCGCATTTTATATGCGTCTTGTTGGCACATCTGTCGAGTGTTATAAATATCTCGAACCATTGTACAACGATTATAGAAAAATGAAACGAATGAATCGATCTGGCAAATATGAATTAGTTCATGTAGATGAGTTTATTGATGAGTTATTAAGAGAAGAACGTGTGCTTGATGTTCAATTACCTCGATTACAGAAACGAAGTGTTCTCGAAGAAAATAATCAGATCGAACCACGGATCAGTGTACTTGATGAAGATGTTGATGACTGTGAATCAAGTGACGATAGTGAAGAAGACGAAAAAATAGAAGAACAGCCGAAAAAGAAATATCGTGATCTTGATAAACCAGAACGTTCACCTTCTCCAAGATTTCTTCGATCGCCAAAACGAAAACGCTCAAGAAGTCGTTCACCTCGAGAACGTAAACATCATCGAAGGAGTACTTCAAAGCACCGTGAACGTGATCGTGACGAAAGGAAAGAAAAACGAAGACGAGACTAAACTTTTTTCTATTCTGTTGTTTTTGTTGTGGAATTCTTATCGAATAGATAAATGTAACCATTTAAAAGAAAAAAAAATGTTGTCCAATATTCATATCTATAACTGGTATGTTTAAAATTTTTATTATCGTTTAGGCCGTTCTTCATAATGATAGTGATAACAAAGGTAACATATGGTGCAAAAGTAATGGCAATAATGTTAAACTCTGTTAGGCCGTGTTGGCAAATCTGAACTACAAGTTTTGTACCAGACATATTTTTCCAGAACAAATCTGAGAAGGAGGAAAAGTCAAAAACCAAACACCTCTGAAAAAGTCATTGCAACTTTGCTATGGAGAAACATGATTTTCTATTTTTTATTAGTTTTTTTTCATCAGAAGAGAAATCAGAAAACACGTTAAATGATGACTTTTGTAGCATAAAGAGTGCTCTTTCCAGTGGTATATAGAAAGTTAAATTACTCTTGATTTTTTTTTTTTTACAAATACTTGATTTTTTTTTGTACAAAAATGCAGCTTTTTCTGACAGACTACATAAGTTGATCGTTCTTACTACCTGGTCGTTTTGCCATGATGATAAAAAATAGTTTTTGAAGTATTTTTTTTCCAAAATGTCTACGATCGGACATATTGCTAACAAATAACGCAAAAAGAATTGAGTTCAGGCATGATTTCCCAAGATGATGACTGATTTTCTTGATATTTTTGCAAAAGAAACTTTTAGAAAAAAATTCATGTTTAAAACGTTTTTGATTAAAGAGTCAAGAATGGATTTAAAATTTTTACCAATGTTGATATCGATAGAGTTTTTGATCTACTACATTTTGGTGTATTTTTTGTTCAACTTTGATACATGGAACTCGAAATAATTGAGAAATACAAACTTTTCAAGTTCTAAAAACGTTGCACGGACTTTTTCAGAGGCGCAATAATTTTATTTCGAAGTTAGGTTATGAATATGATACCTTATTAATGTTTACCTTCAAGTATTACATACGTTCTCCATTTATTTTAGATGTCAGACGAAATTTGTTTCTTTTTTCTTTCATCTGATTGTGCAATTATTCAAAGTAAGGCAGGAAAAACTTCATCATTAAACATATGTGAACTTATATAACGTGATAAATAATATCAGAAATGAATAAGTAACATTGTTTGTAATTGATTACTTCACTATGGGAATTGGACGGTACGGGTATAAATCAAATAGAAAACAATGATTTTATTTTGGACTTTTATTCTAGTTCAAAACAGCAGTCGCAACATTCGGTGCTTGAAACAAACGAAAAGTTCGTAAAAGAAATAGAAATTAAATATAAAGGAGCAAAAGACATTCAACATGAAGACAAACCACCAGAACGATCACGACTGAATATTGGCTCAATCATATCATTTGGGAATCGAATGTTTTTTCCATCATCTAGTCATTGTGGTTTTGATGTATTAAAAGAGAAAACACAAGACTCATTCATTTATGATCAAGATGCAAATGAATTGATAGCATCTAATGAAGATAAAAATAATTTATCCGATGATTTACCACCATTAGAAATTGTACAACAAATGATTGTTTATGAAACACACTTAAGATTATCTGAATCTGTACAACAATTGATGGATTTTTATCATGAAGATGAACATGCTGTTACATTGATTCATGATTATTTACAAAAATCTGTCGTTGAAAAATTTGGATATAAGCATGTCAATGCACTTCGTACGGCTCTTGCACGATTTCCTGACGATCCAATTGTACAATCTGCATTTTACATCAAATATAATCGTATAACACAAGGTAAAATGAATGTTGATGAGCCGGTGATTGATATTGATTTGTATAAGTTAAATGGCGAACAAACAACATTATTATCACAAATATGTCTAAATCATCGTCCAATGATTCTTGTTGCTGGATCAAGTACATGACCACCGTTTCGCACTGCCATTGATCGATTGAATACAATGCATTCGTCTCATAAGCAGTATATTAATTTAATTGCATTATATATAGCTGAAGCACATGCAAAAGATCAATGGCCAATTGGAAAAACAATATCCTGTAATAATCAACCAAAAATAATGGAAGAACGTTTAGAAATAGCTAATCGCTTTTGTAACGAATTTAAATTAGAAATGCCAGTATTAATTGATAATATGGATAACACATTTCATTCAACGTATGGTGCATGGCCATTTCGATTCTATATTATACACAATGGAAAACTAGTATTTAAAGCACAACCAGGTCAAGATAATTATGCCTATAATTTAGATGAATTAGATGAATGGATTGAACAGTATCGTCATCAAATACAAGAACAATAAATATTTTAATTTTTGACAGACCAATGTCTTCTTTTTATCTTCTTTTTTTTCCCCTTATGTTACTCACATGATAACTGCGGTACGAAAATTGACTTCTTGAGTCAATGTCCGTATTTTGATAAATCTATACAAAAGGGAAAAGAAGAAAAGGTAAAACAAAGCAGTGGTAACAACCTCTGTATGCATTTTTTACATATAAAATATGCTAAATACACACTCATTATACGATAAATTCATTATGTAATATAGAAAAATTCTAATATAGAAAAATGTGAAAATATGTTCTCCACCATTTTTGGAAGATGGTTGAATATATATTTCTTTCTCTTATAGAACCACTTACCAAGCTCTGATTTACAAATAGACAGGTTGTTTAAGGTGCTCTCTATCAGATGCAGCCAAAAATAAAGTTCCAAAATCAGATTAAATGGGCAGAACATTGTTCACAAAATAAGCGCCAAACATTAAAAATAAATGCGACATTTTATTGAGTTCGATTCTCTATCAGATAGTATAGTTTCGAGGTCTTTTGAAAAAATATCAGGTATGGAACTTAAGTTTAAAAGTTAATAATTTTTAAATTTAAATTTTTATTATGACAATTTAACTTTAATTTGTTTTTGAGTTCAGATTTGTAATCAGCGTAAAAACCTGCGTCTGATGATGTATTTCTAACCTTTGATCAACAACAAAAAACAAAAATTTGAACCTTGTGATCCGAAGGATGGCCGTTAACTGGTCACACCGTTTATAGTGTTCTTACCCTTAGCTAATCAAACGTTTTACTGCTTTTTATTTTTGACTAATCCTTACACGAATCGTCAACTATTTTGCTTTTTGGCCTTTATTGGTTTTTGAAAAAAGAGATTAAAAATTTCAATTATTTTCATTTTACACATATGGACTCAGACAAATGATTGGATAAACTCATTCCTTCAGCTGCAATTGAATAATAATTGCGCCTCTGAAAAAGTCCGTGCAACGTTTTTAGAACTTGAAAAGTTTGTATTTCTCAATTATTTCGAGTTCCATGTATCAAAGTTGAACAAAAAATAC